ACAAAATTCATGAATAACAACCTCATCTGTACATGTGTATTTTCGAATCAACAATTTTAAATAGAAGACTTAGGTGCACTAGTTTGAGGAAAATTAAAGAATTTGAGAGGTTTGTTCCATGGAACAGTATATTTTATATCAGCTATTTTGCACTTGACTTAAAATATTGAAATTTGGTTACCTGTTAGGTTACCAAATATTGATTAATAATTAATTCACATAATATTTACAGAGCTTTTTCCCTTTACCTTCTCTAAGTCCACTGAATACAAAAAGTGCAAAATGTGACAAGGAATCTGCATTTGCCATTTCTTAAATTCGATTTCCATTACAAGAATAGCAGAATTTTTTAACAGCTTGAAATTACTTAACTCAAACACTTTTAAGAGTATGAGTATTAAACTTATCAACTGAAAACAGTAACAGTAATTTACATTAGGTAAGTTAAAAAATGACATGTTAATCACAAAAGCAAAGGAATAGGATTCTTAAAGAAGATGAATCCGTTGTATCTGCGCTGAAATAAAAATTGGATACTCCTCGCGTTTCAGTTTCACATAGGAGAATAAAATATAGCATGCTACACTGTGAAACAGAACAATATTTTTAATTCTCTCAGCAAGATGAAACGAATATATTTTGCATCTTAATTTTCCATTGAATAACAAAATTTTAAAAAGTGAAAGTTCACAATCTTAACAAAACAGCAAGAACATTTAACTCAATAGAGGAGAACTTGGTTCACTGGTGGGTCAAACAAGAGGAAGTTTTCATTAAAATTCCCTCACTGAGACGGACGCAGAATGAGAAGAAGAGGTTTTCGGATTAGCGCGCTAATGAATAACAGTAGGTCGAGAGCTAAAGTGCTAAGTTTATGTAAACTACAGAGTGCATACATCAGAAGAAGACATGATTCACTTACAGGCAATGTTTTCAGCGTGTAGGCACTCAAATTCCCTTTCAATCTGAGCAAAGAGTGTCCATAATCTTGAACGAACTTCTGGTGGAAGAGAGGTCTCTCGATCTTGGTCAAACGCGTCATGGCGTAATCTTTCGGAGCCCATTCGGTTTGGCGAGCGCGCTGTACGCCGTATCGAAAGTCGTTTAGGCTTTATTTTAATGCTACCTGCTTGCTGCTTGCTCATGACTCGGCAGCAGGTTGGAAATGGTGTAAAATAGTTGTAATCCCGCGCACTGGACACATAAACCTGGAAAATTTCCAATGTTTGCCGACGACTTGAAGAAGTAGACCGCTGGTTCAGTGCAGCATAATATTATAAACAACAAGGTACTCCTGGATCGTGCGCGCCGGTTTCACGCACTCGCGCTCAGCGAGCAAACGCGCGAGTTACACGACATGACCCACGTGCCGCGACGCCAAGGACAATCTTGGAAGAGAGTCATCAGTTTGCCTCCATATTGCTTGATTAGAAGAGTGACCTTTGATCATTCCTGAGGTTTATTGAACTACCCAATTCGTTTTCCAATGGTAACCAAAGCTTAAGAACCGTGCATCGCCAACCGTTAAAGACGGCTATAAGAAGTAAAAGAACACGTTGCCGCTGGAAATGGAACTAATTACCAGTGACAACAACACGATTTTGAAAACGTGTTTACCAAACCTCCGTCGCGCCTCACTCAACTATAAATCGTTGTATTTCACTCAGACATCATTCGTTTCCCATGATAAAAGCATCAACTGAAATACATAATTTGAGAGAGCTCTATTCTTTAGAGTTTCCTTGAAAAACATCAAATATAACATGATCATTTGAGAAAACTCTATTCTTTAGAGTTGATATGTCTTTTTAAAGTAAAATGAAGTGTCAGATGGTAATTAAGTTTAAAAAATTTTTCTCAGATCCTCCAGCTACAAAAACGTATCACCACATATAAATTATCACTTAACCGATCACTACTGGTCAGTATCTTCGATTAGCATTCAGGTCACGTTTATTCCTCCGAAGCGGTCACAACATTTATATCCGACCTCGAATAATGCCTGAATCTTCCAAGATGCTTTTGACTGTGCTTCTGTGATAATTTTTACTCTCAGGCCTCCCTCTTACTCGTGGAAAGCTTCAAGCACACTGCAGGTCCGGCTTGGCTTTCCGTAGTGATCAGAATGAATCTTCGGTTTTAACCATCACTGACAGTTCAACAATCTTGCGTAATGAAGGAAAACCAACCCAAACAGTTTCTACGTTTAAAAGCCAAGAGGAACGACGGCTATGAAGGTGAAAATATAAATTTAATTGAGCCTCTTTCTATCATGATTTTAATTAAATCATTTCTTCTGTCTGAGGTGAGCTTTGACGACCACGCCCCTCCGACATTCACCACGTTGTATGAAATCATTATTTTATTTGCAAAGCCAGTTTTTCGCACCGACCCCTGTACACGGGAACAAGTTTAAGCGCAATCGTGGCAGCACTTGTTTAGTCTCGACGGCCAGTTTGTCAGTTTGTCCTCCACCTGTATTGACTGACGGTCACCTAGGCTAAACCATTCAAATACAACTGACAATAACCTCTGAAATCAGGCCTACTCTGAGACCTTAAGTCGCCTTAAGTCGCCTTAAGTCGCCTAAAGTCGCCTTAAGTTTCTCTTGGTTGCTATTGGTTACGCGATGTTTTAAGTGTTCCACCCTCCCCAATTGAACCTGTCCACTCCACTCCAATCATAAGGATCAGAGGAGGAGGCATGATGGCTGAATGGTTGTGCACTGGATTCAACATTAAGCAGTCCAGTTTTAGTCTCTAGCGTTGGAGCATTGCATCTTGTTCTTGGGCAAGATACTGTAAGCTTCATAGTGTCTCACCTATTGCGGTACTGGCTGGGGGGGGGGGGGGGAGGAGGTAACCCTGCATATGAGTTATTGTCAGGACGGCAATGGCTTCCATATACGTGGAAACCCCTTGTGAAAATAGTCATGAAATCAGTGGTAGCACTTTGAACTTAAATGTCCTTCACGCATTGCATCATTGCAAATTATCTCTCTTCTTAGGACTGTTAAGACGTTTGACCCCCATGTGAAATCGATTTAAAGAGCTCCTGAAATCAAAAGATTATGGTATGGCACGTTATTTTCTTTTATGTGCCAAGTGTTGAGCCAACATACGTGATTATACATTAGATTTACTATGAAAAGCCGAAGGCTTCGGCAGATAACTCAGCCCTCGGCATGGATGATTCATCATATCCTGCTCAACCTCATCCAATAATTGTTTATTTATAGTACATGGTGTAGCTCATAAACGACCGCAGACCGCGAAATCCGTTCCGAATCCTCAAATCCTCATTTCAGCCCGAGAGATTCGACCTCTAGCACTCATTTGGGAGAGTTACTGAGAGGACCTTGGGGAATTAGATTTGTCTCGAAGGACTTGTCAAGATCTATCACACCTACGACAAATGAACCGTCACGATGATTACGGTAGGCCATGCCGTAAGAAAAAAAATCTGGAGAGAGAGCTAAAAAAAGCGACAAATGAATATTTGCATCACAATCGACAAGTGTAAACAAACCGCGAATGAAGCAAAATGCTTTCAAATGATTTGCAGCCAAACAAGACAAACAAGACAAAATCAATGCTGTTTTTTCCTTGTCGCGCAAAATTGATCTGACTGGGACTTTACATGCTGTATTGGTGTGCTAAGTTGCGTAAATTTATTGTGGTATGTTTACATTTTTGATTAACATTTGAAAGAGATAAGCGAAGCTACTTATACAGGAAATTCTGAAGTTGGATCAATATTGCTTCGCACGTTTACCATGTGTCGCTGGGGTTGCCGTGAAAATGATATGGTGGGTAAATGCATTTGTAGCAATGCGAAGTTATTACTCGGCTCTGCCTGTTTACTTCGGAACGTTTAGAAAATTCCAGAGCAAGATTGATTTAATTTGTAATGAATAACATTCGTTTACGTAAGTTACAAAAGGTAAACATGTTGCAGATATACTGAGATCGTCAAGAAGCCTCGGGAATTAAAACGAAAATAAGAGCTGAGCGCAAGAACGAGTTGGGGGGCCATAAACAGAAGTTATCCTTCTCCAATCAGCTCCTATTCCCACTCATAGGGAAGTAAAAATGTAGCGCGCGCGTAACACGCGGGCCGGGTTTACCTTAGCCACAAGCCTTGCAAACCGCTCATTGTTTGCTATTGACGAGAGAATTTTCTCGTTTTATCCAAGATATTTAAATGCAAGTTTTGCGGAACGAATTATTGTAAGGCGTGTGGAAGGGGAGATTTCCATGGTGTTATGACCGCTACGTCAGTTTGCAGAGTTTGTTTCCAGGTATGTTTAATTAACTTGTAAGAAATGTATACGAAATGAACAAAAAAGTTTAGAAGCTTCTTGTTCGACGCTTATATTAAACTTGGAGAAAAATAATCATGTACGGCCGCTTATTTCGATTACGAGACAGTTTCACAACAGAGACAGGTGGTTCACTCAAATTTGTAAAAGCCAAGGCATTCCTCAGATATCATTATCGGCTACCTCTTTCGAGCCGATTTACCAAATGTTTTCTCAAGGATAATCTTCTAATTTAGAAAAACATTTGCCTTAATCTAAAGGCAAACAATGCAGACGCGAGACGAGTATCACTCACTCAGTACTATAAATTAGGGCAACGATGCGTGCGGTCAGTGAAACGTGTCGGAGAGGGTGTAGGGAAAACTGAATTTCAAGGTCCCCCCCCCCCCGCTTTAAAAAGCGCTTGTGTCTCTCTGAGGAAGGGGGGGAGGAGTATTTCTAGAGTCTCCATGTTCTTATAAGAAATTCTTCTCAGAAGCTACATTTCTTCTGATTTCAGCCCAAATGCCAAGGAGAAAAGGTTGGAAATACTCGGGAAAAATCAACCAAGAAAGAAATGAAGAAGACAACAGTCAAGACAAATTCCTCCCAGTCCAAGAAATAACAACTAAATTTAAAAAGACTGATCGTTCTAAAAGAAAAACCAATATACACGTAGTTTCTAAAGACTAAAAGCTAGTTTCCAAATTCTGATGCTAATTTTATTTTCAAGCTGCTTATCAAACTTGCACTCACAGAGGCAATTCGTCAATAACTTACTCAGCCACAATTGCGACATTACAAGGCTTTACGTACCAATGCTTTTTCTAGTACAGCAGTTAACGTTAGAATCAAGTTGAAGTTGACCGCGTCTGTATTGAGAGCACTGTTATCTCCTTGACAAAAATAATCCTGCACTCACTGTTTATGTGCAGTCGTACCGGGCAATCGCGCCATTTTAAATGAAGTGTCGTGTGTAATCTGCGTTTGCTTCGGTTTTGCAGTGCAAAACTAAGACCAATCACGACTTGGTCGCCAGCGTTTCAGGCAGTTTTTACTTTCAGTTTTCACTAACTCTTAAAGGTATTATCTTTTCCTCTAATTGGCCGTTGTGGTTGCTTTGGTTTTAGTTTGACGACACTCAATCGAAAAGCGTTCTAAACCTCGCGCCGCCCTCTTAAACCAATCAGATAGAAAACTGATACCAACCGTGACTCGGTCATTGGCGTTTTCCCGCGCTACAAGCAGTTTTGCTCGTGTGCGTTTGAGCGCAAGCTCTTATTGGCTCCTTGTGATATTCTACTTTGTTGTGATTGGCTGTTGAGATTATTTTAATTTGGGGTTTGGTCTTGCGAACGACACTCCACCGAAAAGCGCTATACTTAAGCGCTATACTGTTTGTCCAATCTCTAGGGTTTGTCATTTTAAATCCGTGCTAATCTTCGCCATGCATTAAAATCCTTGTTCCTTAATGGGATAAGCTCATCTTTTCTAGTGTCTCTCAACTCTTGGAAAGTTATTTCCAGGTTTTCTCGATGAAAGAAAGTCCTTTATCGCGCTCAAAGTGACGCAACTTATTACTTCCGGTTTTGAGTTTCCCAAAATAGTTGGTGAGAATTCACATTCAGGGAAGAGCCCACGTCTGTCAATAAAAAAGCCAGTTACATCGAAAACCGATTAAGAACCATGTTCCACAAACCACTTTAGGTGCTACTAGTACCTTTTTACTCACTTACGTAAAATGCCACAAGAAAACGTGAAAAGACGTTGCAACCAAACGCAAGTCTTATTCAAATCCAACGGTTGAAAGGCCGACCAAAACTAACAGGTGCCTCCAAGCTTGCTTTGCCAATGGCTCATCAGTCAGAATTCAGAATCACTGCAACAAATTAAATGCGCGTACTAATCCAAAAAACAGCACCTAGCGCTCGCTGGTGTAACCTTAAGTCTCGCCCGTGACACTTGTCTTGAACTGATTAACGGCCTCGAGTTTCGTGAGTTCATCTGGGACGTCTTTTGTGTTTTGCTTTTTTCTTTCTCTTCTTTTTCGAAAGAGGTACGCTTCCAAATGCTAAGAAACAAACAGAGGGAATTTTTTGAATACGATTATTACTCAAACGGGACGAAATTGTAAAAAGTCTTACCAGCGGGTGAGTTGTCGTCGCCTGTCGAAACATTCGATTCTTCCTCCCATGATAACCTTTAAATGAAAATAGAGAATTTGTTCAGCGTACACAAAACTTTTATCATTACAAGCTCCAGAAATGTATGTTGTAAATGTGTATCAGACCACCTTGACTTAATCGGTGGAAATTCAAAGAGTTAAACCTGTTCAAAGTATCTCTCAAGGCTTGTCCATCACCATCCTCATAGCTGTCAACATCTGTTAGTACAAAAAGAAATAAGTTATGTTTATGACGCAAGTTACAAGGGGCTATTTCACCAAACTTTAGTTCAACTTCATTTTGCCCCCCACCCCCTCCCTCCAAAGGCATACGAACTTATGTCACAGACCGCGTTTGGAGGTTCCAAAGAGTAACCTGACTATTGGAAAAATTTTTTCGCACGTGGTACAAATTTGGCAAAGGACCCTGACATGTTTTCCAGCCGCGCGCAAAATTGCACGGAAAATAAAAGAAACCACCGCTGTCAAACGGCTTAAACAGTTTTCAGCTTTAAAACACTGTGACTTATAGGCTAGTGTGGTTGTTTTATAACTTCTACAAGAGAACTAGGTTCTGACAGCCTGAAAGCACGTCACCTGACAATTACAAGTGGTTGTTTAGGACTAAATTCGAACCTACAAACAAGAAGTAGAAGGATGACTGAGCGCAAAGAATATTAGGACGGTCTTGTAAAACGAACTTTTTCGATATGTGAAGATAAATACTTACCAATCACATCATCAGCTTCCAGTGAACTCCTGGACAAATAGAGATATGTAAATACAAAAGAAAGAAGGGACAAATAGGTACTAAATTAATTTCGTAATAGAATTTCAAAGTGACAAAAATTACATCGACATACAAAAGTAAAACTATGCCAAAAGACCATACGACTCTAGGAGGAGTTTGAGGCAGCGAGTGCCAGTTTAAATTTAGAGAGCTATAATTACATAGGGATGTGTCGTTATACCCACTGCATCCTCACCTTCCTACAATGGGTTCAAATTCTGCATAACCTGCACGAAAACAAAATCAAACGTCTGGTAACCATCATGCTATGAGATATTTCTTTTCTAACTTTTGAAAGTTTCATTTCAATTAAAAAAGGTGTCCAATTGGCGACACGCAGGACACGCGTTTCCCCTCTCGCGGGAAGATTTAAGACAAGTCGAGGAGAGGTTTGCCTGGGGTCTGGCACTAATGACCTCTCGCCGGCTCACGCTGCTCAAGGACTCGTGCCGAAATGCTTATAACGCTGACCAACTCGCAGGCTTAGTGGGGCTATGCACTTAGCTCGGTGATCAATTATTTTTCCTCTGTTAAAATACAATTTCACCACATCTGTAAAGACGTCATTTCTCATAACAGCATTTCTTGATTTCAGAAGTGAGGCAAGTGTTGAGAAAAACAGCATATCATTGCACACGTATTTAGTACCTAAAAGTCGTAGACGGACATTCTGTCTCTGTTCATCTGAATGCTGCGGACATCGATGAGATCTAAGAGAACATTGCAACAAAGATAAACATTATAGATCAATAAAAAGGATTAACGAGTGTAAAAGAAGGTTCGAGATTCTTTGTATAAAAAAGACTGCAATTATAAGTTTTTGGGGAATATTATTCCTCCAAAACAAGGCAGAAACTAACAATAAGAATTAATTTAAGATAGATGTTCGTCTCTCCATAAAAATTAGACACATGCCAAAAATCAACTACAGCTTCTTGTAACTTTTTGCCAGGAAATGAACAAAGAAGAGAATAGTGTAGAAGCACATGGAATGTTCTCCCCGGACATCTGTATAAACAATAGTTCATGTTATTGAAATTTTGGTACTTCTCTCCTCTCTGATGCTAAACAAACACTCTCTCTTCGGCAAGTTCAAAAACTACTATAGACCAAACATAGCGCTTTGTTTCACGTCTTTCATTTGTAATACAATCTCATAAAAAAAAAATTTACCTTGTGCACATGCGTGCTGTATGTTCTGATATTACACCACACGTCTGCAAAACAAATAGTTACATAATAACGAAACAAAGATCGAGTTAGAGGAAGATTATCCATGTATACATTCTTCTGAAGGAAGGTTTTAGTATCATCAAGTTAGACCTGTAAGTATTACCATGTAAGCAGTATTGTACTTGGATTGAAAGCTGTTTGAAAAATAAATCCTTGTTGTAAGTAACGTATTACTGAAAACACATTGTACGTACTATACTAAAGTTGGTGATTTTGTTTCGTTTTGCTCTGTATTGTAAGGTAATGTTTTGAAAATAATTATATCAAATATAACTTATTGATGTTTAGAGAAAGGTAAGGCACAGCTAGTGTGTGAAATAACTTGAATTTCCTAAGGTAAATGTACACACCTGGGAAAGAAGGCTCTTCTTCTCCTCTGAAAAATATAATCGAAACAGTTCATGTTATCATAAAGACAAACACAACTTTTCCAAATTATTGGGAAAGACATTGTCAGCTCATTCAAAATGTAGCAATCACCACCAAAATTTGGTCAGCTTCTTTTGCAGTTAGGGGAGAAAAATAACTAAGTGTGTAATGGCTAACATTCTGACCACTGGACCCATAGGCACACATACAAGCACTGGCTGGATGATTGTGTTGTGCTGATTGGAAAAACTCTTCATTCTCACAGTGCCATTTTCCACCCAGGGGTACATTCCTGAGTGGAGAATGGGCACTGATGAACTGCCAGGGGGAGTCTTGCAAAATTACCAAGGGGGAGAGGGGTAAACTGAGGATAACCCCCCCTTAAATCATGAGATTTCAATGTGTGATAGTTTATCATAGCGTATCCCTCATCAGTGAACATGCAACTGAAATCTAGAGCCCATAATCTATCCCTAATTACTGTACACACCATTTCCAAGGGGTTCAAAAGCAGCCACAGTGAGTCCAGTCTACAAAATACAAAAACTGAATCAACATATTAAACTTTCAAAAAATTATTTCCTGCTTTACTCAAAATATTCTACACAGTATTGCAACATAAATAAGCTGAATTTTACCCTCGTTGCTGGTAACTCGCCACTGTGAACAGAACTAGGAGTGCCTGGACGTGGTGTACCAGCTTCACCTTAAGACCAAAAAGAATAAAGAAAAATCTCAACTGAAGTGATACAAGGCAATGAGCAAGACTCTACCATACATTTTTTTAAAATGTGCAACAGAGCCACAAACTGAACTTAAAATTCGTAATTATTTCACATACCATTCTTCCTAGGGGCTTTTGCTCTCCTGGGTGAATTTCCCTTGAAAGACAGAACAATTTTGATAGCAATAAAGTAAGACTTGGGTAGTAATGATTTAACCCTTTAATTTCCAAGATCTAATTGTTAATTCTCTTTCTAAATGTTACACATTTCCTTGTAAATAAGTCATGAGAATTTCACGTTAAATCAAGATAACATCTTCCACCTGATTAGCTTGAGTCTTCTCTTTACCTGTTTGCTGGATAACGTATGAATATTGAAGGGAGAAGTAACATGTTGATCACTCCTGGGAGTTGAAGGGTTAAAAGAGGCCACCCCTTCCTTTCCTACATTTCACTCTCATAAGTGATTAACATGTAACCTCTCCCTATAACATCCACACATTATCCAGCCAATATGTAATAAGAATACTCAAACTTATCAGGTACAAGTGAGTAGTCTTGATCTACCACCAAATTCTCATGACTTATTTACAAGGAAATGTGTAACAGCTAGAGAGGAGAATTAACAATCAGATCTTGGGAGTTAAAGGATTAAGTTATGATTAAAAATGGAAAAACCCATCCACTCCTCATTAGCTTTTCATGTGTTATGAAACACATACCTTGAATTTGAATTTGCTAAATAATAATATAATATATAATAAAAATAATAAATTCCATTTACTTAGCTGCTTAAAAAGTCATTACCATTTGAAAGCTTACCCTGTCTCTCTTATTCTTCTTTCCTGCAAAGTGAAAAAAAAATGTTTTTCTCATTTACCCTTAAAACTCATTATATTTGTGAAAAGCAGCATGTTCATTGCACTTGAATACTAAAAAAGGTAACCAATATATGCCTCAAAGAAGTGGAAACAAGTCCCAACAAACCTGGTTTTCTGTCTGAATTCCAAGTCCAGTCATCGTCAAAGTAGTTGTCATCATCATCATCTCCGTCAATCAGTTTGCCTGTGGTTGCAAGCCTGGCAAATTGATGCAAGATGGGAAACTTAAACTTAAATCTTATTAATCAGTGACCATTTTTATGGACAAGTCCTGTAAATTAATATATGTGTCAAAACTTTGACCTCTAATGGTCCCATTTCATGCACTGCAAACAAAACCTTGAATAGAATGCTGGTTGTTTTTCATAGGTGAATCCATCTAAATTTGCAAACAGTACCCTTATACCACAGGTTCTCTTAATGAGACAGTCTACAAGCCAAATATAAGAATTTTTTTTTTTAAGATTTTGCAAATTGTTCTTGCTCAGCAGATTTAAGTTCCAGCAGAAAATACTACCACAAAAAAAAGACCAGAAATTCATGTATTTTCTTCTCTCTGTCAAATGGTTAAAAAAATCCTACTACAAAACCTTGCATTCCAACTCATTGGAAATATCCATCACTCTCCAAATTATCTGTGGTAGAACATTTCTTTGCTAGTTTGAAAATTACCACTAAAAATTGTATAACCATTTTCTAAATTCAGTTTCCTTCCTTCGTTTTTCAGAGACTTACACAGAAAATCCCAAAAATTAGTTCCAACAGAAATTTCTTTTACCTAAAATAAGCAATAATTTTGTACCAACTAAACTAATTTGAGCAGTATGCAGTGTTCAAATAACAAATTTAAATAAGATAATTGAATAATTCATTCATACAACCTCCTACTGGCCAGTCGGCTGCTGTTACGACCCATTCCTAGGCATTTTTCTAGGTGAGGGGCAAATCTGTTAGCAGCCATGTTCCTCTGACAGCTGGGACAAATGCACTCAACCTGTTTCTTTAGTGGTCCCTGCCCAAACACATCCAGACCATCACGGTCCACCACTTCTGCGATAATGAATTAAAAAAAGGGGACTTAATTCCCATGAGTGACCAAGAAAGAATTTCTTGTCACCATAGCATTACAACATCAGGCAGATGTGATGAAAACAAAGTAAAATATTAAATAAAGGATTATTAGTTGATCCACAACAAAATTCTCCAAACTATCATCATTAAATTGTACAGTAGACACCTTAAGATTGACTGGCCTACATTTTCTCCTAACAATATCAACCTTGAATCTAATAATTTAGTTAGAAACCCTTTCAGTCAAATCATACTTTTCTATGTATTAACCCTATAACTCCCAAGATCTGATTGTTATTTCTCCCCTCTAGCTGCTACACATTTCCCTGTAAATTAGTTATGAGAATTTGGTGTAAGATCAAGACAACAATATCTACCTGATAAGTCTGAGAATTCTCATTATCTCTTTGCTGGATAAAGTATGAATATAATAGGGAGAAGTTACATGTTAATCACTTCTGGGAGTTCAAGGGTTAAAACAAAACAATACACATATAAGAGAAGAAAAG